TCTTCTTTGGGGACAAATCCTAGTTCTAATCACTTGTAAACATATATTTCAAGAATAATTAACTTGTAGATTTTAATATTAGTACATGTTATAGGAATGCCTACTGCCCTGTTCTGTATTTTTTTCTTACAGGAATGAGATCAAGGATACCAGGGTATTTTGTGCCGGGATATAAGGATTGGGTCTTGAGGCATACATCGGTGTCGTGTGTTAAATGATTATACCAGTTCTATTATTAGAATCATCATTTTATTATTATCTTAGTATATTATTATGTAATTATATTATTTATTACATTATTATTATTCTTATCTATTGTACTGTAAAGTATTTGACTTGTCCTATATCACGTATAATGATCCATGGATATGAAGTAAATAAATGAAAATAAACAAACACTTGCATGGTTCAGCTGGCTGGACATTGCATTTTTCTGAACACTAATAAAGCTACTACTGAGAATTGTATCTAATGTATTGTCACGTGTCTTGAGTTCGAATCTCGTTTGTCACGTGTGTAAGTCCAAATCCCACTTCTGACACCAGTTGTAACGTGTTTTGTTACTGAATACGCCGTAGAGATCGTTAATTGGTTTATTTAACAACCTACAAATCACGGCTACAATTAATTATAACACAGTTGCGGGTTTCCACACTTTACAAACCCTACAACCAAAGTCTTCACGTACTAATAACGTGGGAGCTATACAAATCTCCCTGAATTACACACTCCAAATATAACTGTACTACAGCACTCACTAAGTCTCGAAAGGACACAATAAGTCTTCCGCTCGCTGACTTCTTAGTTATCGCACACCGTCACATAAAATCTTGTAACCATGCGTTCGGGTCTTCTTATCGCGACTGCTGCTATATGTCAACTCGACTCGCAGGCTTGCTCGGAACTAACTGTGAATAGCCTTCGCTGCTCCTTATGTAGCCTTGTTCCGGACCATTGTCGTCTGGTGCCGTGTTGCTAGCAACGCTGTCCAGAGTTGTTGACTGCTGCCTAGCAACCGCGATATCCCTTGGTGATGTCACCGCTGTTGACTCGCGTTGCATAGCTACCAGGTTGCGGGGACTCAGCTAACTTCGGCTCCGCTCGGCACATCACCGTGGGGAGAGTGGCGGGGTGATGACTCGCCTATTACGAGAGCACTACGTTACCGCCATGTGCCGCTGGGGAGGTAGGGGTCCTCCGTTGCGCAACATGTCACAGTATTTTAGCATGTTATAAGCATGAACGTGAAGTATATAAACAGGATAGTCCTTTGACCAGCTGCTACTTTGTGCATCCAAATATGGCAATAATAAAGACTAGCTGCCATAAAATGAGGAGGAATGCTAATTTAAGTTTCTAATTGCTATAAGAAACTATGACATGCAAACAATGACCTTTACACCCAGAAAATCTCTTACCAATATTATCTTTGTTTCATCTAGTTCTTCTTGTATTTTGGTCATAGCATCAGCTTCTCTGGGATTCTGATATTTAGCAAGGTATGTATATAGCTGAGGAAATGATATTGTTGCCTCAGAACCAACTGGCCATGATGCTGCAGGCACACTTAGTGCAAAGTCATCAAGAACCTGTAACATGTCCGAGACTGGTAAAAATGTCTAATAAATGGCCCACAATAACAAACTATTAAATATGGGTGGAAATGCTATACAAATTTAGAATCATGATATCATAATTACCAGCATATTAACTAAGTACCTTGTTCTGTAACTGTGCACTCAGCTAATTATGGGTCCACACATCTCACCAAAACTCCTGTATTGACAGAAAACAATATATTCTGGTACTGTGAAAAAAAAACTGTTGCTTTAATTCCTGTATAGAAAATGTAGTCTTTTCATGCTAATTTAGGCCCCAGCATGAATGGAAAAACTACGACAAAACTGATTCAAAGCAAGTGCTACTGTATTATCAGCTGTTAAAACTCTCCATGTTTAAGGAAGAAAATGAATTCTCCTTGTAAAACCAAAACAATTCTGTACATCTAACAAGTCTGTCACAATTTCCTCATCTGTGTCACCCTTCAATTGAAAACCAAAAAACTTTTTCTGGTACATTCAGTATTAAACAACATGTACAACCCAATCTATTTCTATTTATCAGAACTAAGTGATTAAATGACATATGACGAAGCCAATTTTCCTCTCCATTTTTTCCAGCTTTGTCTCCTGCATCTTTAGCAGGCCAACCATGACACCAGTGTAATATTCATCTAACAGCAAAAAGATAGTAATATAAAACAGAACTGTTAGAATCATGGCAGGTACCAAACACAGGAATTCAAGTGGAAGTCTCCTTAAGATATTAAAGATGTGCATGTGAATGCACATTTTCATTAATGAACTTCAGTGGAAATAACAAAGAATATTTTCAGATCATTTCAACTGTACACAGTTTTAACACAAGGAACAAGCATCACCTTCATAGACCATTTGCCAACCTCTCATTTTACCATCATTCTATCATCTAGTCTCAATTCTTATGAATTAAAAGGCATAATTTAAAGTACCACTGGAAAAATACTTAAATACACATTAATTCTACTCTGTTGACAAACTCTTATTATCTAAAAATTACTCACAATCTTCTTAAAGTTTATTTAAATAACACTACTGATCTACATGTGTGGATCTACTTGAAGCACTTTAATACCTGATGTGAACCCTCTTGGCATGTGAAATCTTCAGCTGTAATGTACATGTGTGTTTCAAGTCTTTATAATTTATTCCACATCCTACAATAATTTCTAACTAACTCTGGATCAACCTTATGTTATGTACTTGTATATACAACATACACTTCTCAAAGATCATTTGAATTCCTTGCAGTGAGACAATTTGTTTCTTTCTGTTTCTGAAAAGTTAACTTATGACAACAGTTATGCTACACAGGCATTCTTAAATCATACTCAGGGCTCTTGGGAACTTGGGGTTTCCTCACAATCTCTTATCAGTAACAATGTATGGCCTGGTCATGTTACATCAGGCTGTGCCAATTTAGTTTAGCCTACTTCTCATTACCTCTGCACAATACAGTGAACACAATGTTTCAATGTTTCACTGATTGATTGACTGATTCTTAAACTATTTACTGATAGGTGTCTGGGGTTGTAACAGCAACATTAAAATAATTATTTTTCTTACACTGCAACATACTTTTACATTTGCCTAATAAATATGAATCCACTGAAACTGGGCCAACTTGGGTCAGGACAATTTCATTTCATCTCATCTCATTTGTACTGATGTGTGAGGTCTACTAACCACACATAAAATAGGAATTTTGCAAGAAGCTTGACAGTGGATGAAGACATTTGGATACATAATGAAGAGATCACAGTACTGTAATTTTTATCATCTCATATTATTTTTCAATTACATATACATGCACACTATCAAAACTACAAAACCAGAAATGTGGAAATATGAGCAGTACTTTATGTGCAGTGGGTTAGGTTTTATGAGGGTCTTACTTATTGCACCTGTCTATTCTATACTACGTGATCGGTGAACATTTAGCATAATCAGCCTTCTATCATAATCACAAAACACAAGTCACTATGTTGATATTTTTAGTGCATGCATGCGCACACAAAGTTAAATAGGAGCGGAAGACCACATTAAGCAACATGCTACAAGGGAGAGTCAGTAAACAGGTCACAAATGGTTATAAAATGTGAAACATGTGATATTAAAACCTGGAAAAAACATTTATTTCTCGACATACCCTCCACCAACATTGATACACCTGTCCCCTTGCTTTACCAGTATGTCAAAACCTGAAGCACAGAAGTTTTGACTGTTGTACCAGCCATTTCCACATTTCCGTTTCAACCTCTTCATCATCAGCAAAATGTTTGCCACCAAAGTGGCATTTTCACAACCCAGTTGTGAACCACTTTACATCACAAACACTTCCCACAGTACACAGGAAACTTTTTTTTTAAGAATATCCTTTGCATTGAGTTCTTTTGCCCACAAATACGCACTAGAGAACACTACTCTTCAGTAGTATACATTTCAAGCACGGTTGCCATTTTAACTAGTGAAACCAGCCTCTGAACGTGCACATGTAGGTCTGCTACCTACACTGTCATGAAGCTGGACTGTGCTGCTACATATTGATACATACAGAAAACCAATTACATCAATTACAGCTGTTTTACTTCCATTTGTGACCTGTTTACTGACTCTCTCTCATATTATAATGAGTATTTTAAAAAATGCTTCAATATTGATTATTCTAAAATGACAAGAATATCTGGCTCTACCACCCAAACAATGTGTAATTAAACAACAACCTGTACCTATACCACCCTATCTTAAATTCAGGATATCATTTATTACCCGTTCCTGTAAAGGTATGGTAGAAAAGTTAAAGCATAACTAATTAAACACTACACCATGAAGACATATGCTGGTATGAATGTATAGATCCACATTTTCTTGACCTCAGCACTAGCTGGAGGTATTATAATTACTTTTTATGTATCACTAACATATTTTCCACATAAGAAATACTGTAATATATTATTACCTTCGTGATCAGTGTGTGTGAAACACGATGGGGATAATCATGGTCTGATATTAAAACTCCAGCTAAATTATCTCCTCGAACATACACGTGACACATATATTCTGAAAATTTAATATGCATTTAATATGTAATAACAAAAGCGAAATTGTTGTCAACAATTTTAATTAAGAGAAAGTTATTTACCTCCCTCTTTTACCGACTGCCTTGCAGCAGTCTGTGTTCTTTCTACAATTGTTTTACTAACAAATGCCATAAACTCTTGAACACTGCTTCTTTGGAAAAAACTATAGGCCGACAGATCGTATGCAGATTTCAGCCAAATGGCATTATTTGGCCCCTTGAATAACACATTCAAAGCATACAGTTTCACCATTATTTTTGCTCAAAATATATGACCTGAAATAAAAAGAAAACATTTGAATCGTCTGAATGCAAAATCAAACACTTTCATACTCACAAATAATCGGACATTCGCCTACCCTTTACAATAATTTATACGAATATATAAAATGTTGATAATAACAGTATTTATAAAGAGCACTGTTGCATAAAATTACGCGTCGAAATACAAAAGATCTCAGCATAACAATCCACTTTGACACATCACTTCGACCACATTAGATTCCCATGAATCAATGCCACCAACATTACGTACACGAAAAACCATGGAATCTCAAACTTGTATCGCTGGAACGTAAGCTGATATTGAGCATTGACTGGGGCTCCACTTCAATCGACTATCCGAAGTAGAAACGCCAGAATTCTGGCCCAAAGGAGTGCGAGTTGAACGCTTCCGATTTCGCTCACGACCATTCCAAGGCACCGACCTCAACGCTTAAGGACGGAAATAATCAAGAAACGACCAACAGCAAAAGAACATTGGATCTACTCCTGTGGAATGTTGAAGGATTAAAGTCAATAATGCAAAACGCCCCGGATACAATAACACAAAATCATGACATTATAGTATTAACCGAAACCTTTCTAACAGAATACACAGCCATACCAGGATATTACACAACGCACAGTTATGCAGTCCAAAAACAAGAAGGAAGACCTAGCGGAGGAGTCTCATGTATTTATAACAACAAAATAGGGGAAAAAATAGCGGAGTATAAAGAAGACAACATGGTACACATAACAACAACATACCTAGAAATAATAGGTCTATATATTCCACCCCAAACCAACATAGAAGATGCAATAGAGAAGATAGCAAGTGCAGTCAGTAGACTAGACCACAAAAAACCAGCCATACTCGCAGGGGATATAAACTGTAGAATTGATAAACCCGACAAAAAAACCCAAGAGGTTACGAAGCTACTACAGGAAGAAGGATTCTGTCTAGCAAATAGAACAGATGTGATGACATACATAGCGCCGAATGGATGCAGCTNGTGTGTGTGTGTAAACACTGTGATAAAAAGTGCAGTAGATACCACATTACCATATGCAAAAACTTAACGACATTAATAACCGAATACAGTCGCGAATAGAAAACAATTACTTTATGCACATTGTGCGCTTTCCCTTATTATATATATATATTGAGCATAACAGTATTTGTAGTTACTGATCTTCATAGAGATTAATATATATGTCAACACTGAGTTGTTAAACGGAGATACAATTGTTTGGTCTAATTTCATGTACTAAATTATTCATCTGCAACGTTAATCCTTCCGCAACCCGTAAGAATCATACTATACACGATAGATACATTTCTAAGAATCAACTGCATAACGTCACATTCTCATAATCCACGGCTCTATTACATCGTTTAATCATTTGTGTTAGTGGACAAGAATGGTCAAGAATCGCTAAATGTGTTCATCTGGTTTAGAACATGACAGGAATTAGTAAAGGTTACGGGGCTAGTGACCCTAGTGACGGACTTTTGTGAATACGGCAAAGAAGCTCATGATCCTCATGATTCACAAAAAAAAGATGAAAGCTTTAACTAGTTGAGGGATTACACCAATAGAGTTAATTTCAAAATTAACACTGCGACTACATGAGTTACACTGTATTGCAAATTGTACTTTGACTTGTGTGGCATCATCATTGCTAGAATCCAGGGGATGGATCTGTGTGATGAATTAGGCTGCGCACATAGTAATTTCTGATACTCAAGGGGTGTACAAAACAATGTAAACTATTAAGAAATTGAGGTTTGGAATTTGTGTTGGCTACACTGAAACAGTTGACTGTTTTCCCCTTTGTTTACAGTGTAGTGCTCGTGCAAGGGCATTAGTCATC